TTTAATTTCTATTTGTCAAAGTATTTATTTCCTATTTTTACTATTATTTTTTCCCGAGGTTTTTCCTATTTAAATTAGGGTAGAAAGGCTATTTTTTTCCTATCCAAGTGGAACCATATTTTTTTCCTATTCATGATATATTTCTAAACAAATACTTAATTGATGTACTCGAATAGAAATTAAATAGGTTTCAAATATGATAAAAATAGAGCTATTTAAGGAAATTATTAAAAACATATAGTTTCGACATAGTTAATAAATATGTATGAAATAGTTAAAACATAGTGACAATATAGGTAAAAAATATGTAATAAATAGCTGAAATGAGTTTCAACAAAGTTTAAAATAGTCAATAAATAGTTCAAAAATAGTGATATTATAGTTTAAAAATAGATAATAAATAGTTCAAAAATAGTGATAATATAGTTTAAAAATAGATAATAAATAGTTCAAAAATAGTGATATTATAGTTTAAAAATAGATAATAAATAGTTCAAAAATAGTGATAATATAGTTTAAAAATAGATAATAAATAGTTCAAAAATAGTGATATTATAGTTTAAAAATAGATAATAAATAGTTCAAAAATAGTGATAATATAGGTTTAAAAATAGATAATAAATAGTTCAAAAATAGTGGTATTATAGTTTAAAAATAGATAATAAATAGTTCAAAAATAGTGATAATATAGTTTAAAAATAGATAATAAATAGTTCAAAAATAGTGATATTATAGTTTAAAAATAGATAATAAATAGTTCAAAAATAGTGATAATATAGTTTAAAAATAAATAATAAATAGTTCAAAAATAGTGGTATTATAGTTTAAAAATAGATAATAAATAGTTCTAAAATAGTGATAATATAGTTTAAAAATAGATAATAAACAGTTCAAAATTAGTGATAATATAGTTTAAAAACAGAGAATAAATAGTTAAAATACATCCCAGCTTGTTAAAAATAGATAATAAATAGTGGATATAATATTGCCCAAATAGATTAAAAATAGTTAAAAAATAGTAATAACATATTAAATAAATAGTTAAAATATGTCCTGTTAATACAGTTAAAATAGTTATTAAATATAGTGTATACAAATATATATATATAGCTTATAAATATTTTTTAAAATATATTATAAATACCAGCAGTTAAAACATAGATCATAAAAAGTTAAAACATATAATGCAAATAGTCTTTAAATAAAATATAATTAGTAAAACAAATTGAGAACAAGTGTAGAAGTGCTGAAACATCAGAGGCTATTACAGACCTACTTTAGTATTTACCGTCTGTAAATGCCAGACAATTTTACTTATCAGTAGGTAGAGGTCTGTCAATAAATGAGTTTAAAATCTGTAGTTAGCAGTCTCTATAGTAGTCAAAGAGTTAAGTATATACATACAGTAACTTGGCTGGGGACAGGGCAGAAAAAAAGCAAGAACATCATGTAACATCAAGAATAGGGCGAAGCTCAGCTGCAGCTAAGTTCAGGCCTTTTTACAGGTTAGAAAAACATTTATATATTTGAATTATACCCTGAATCTAGCTGGATCGATATTTTTCAACTATTCAACATATATCCTGTATGCAGCTGGATAGCAAAAACATTCTATCCTGCACACCCCTACAAAGAACATCAAGTAAGTAAGTAAGGTAAGAGCAAATTGCTCCTTTATAGGTGTTAATATTTAGGTGAGATATGGGGGAGCATGCCACAGTCTGTAAGTAAAATTGTCTAGCATGAAATGTCAGAGTTAAATAACAATATCAAAAAGTACTTAAGTAGGAAGTGTTATGTGTCAACATGAAACATGGGCAGAGTCTAGTACCCTAGCTAGACACTTCCCTTGATGAATAAAATTGTCCGGCATCAGGCAAGATAACATTTAATAACAACGTGCTCAGTATTGGTCTCATTGGAGTGAAATGGGTAAGTCCAAAAACAATCAAACCCTTGCCGGGGTGTCTCTAAAATATATAAAATGTAGCCCAAAGCTTGTTACATATATTATTAAGCAGACCATGAAGACATGTGGTGTGACTAAATGTATTCATAAGTTTGAACAGCAAACTAAGGACTTTAACTGTTTCCAGTTAGGGACACATATATAATCAAGTTGCCACATATGACAACAACACATCAAATTGATATTTTTATCTATTCTAAACTGGCCCACCTATATATGAATAAATATTGGAAACTTATGAAAGTACCAGTTAATTTGAAACCAGTCGATAAATTTTCTCAAACCATGTTTATTTGGGATATGCCTGGGTAGGCATATGAGAATTAAGTTATTATTTTATACAACAAACACTGGAATCTGGCAATCTGTCATATACACTATACACAAAGATCAAAGTATACTATTTGGCATTACAATAAACATCATTTATAAATATAAAGGCTGAGTCAAATGTAAGCCTTCTATAAAACTAATGTTGTTTTAATTCAAATATTGTCGCAGCAAATTGAAATTTTAAGCCGGAACATGTGCTCAAAATTCACGATTGAAGATAATAATATTTCCTTTTAAAATTGCTCTATTTATATGTAGAACATAACAAAATTCTTACCTGGATGTTACCCAGTCAACCCTGATGTTTAATCTTTAAAATAAATATCACTTTTCCTCAATAACGGCTCTGTATTTGAGCCATTTCGAACGGAAAGTTTAAACTAAAAAGTTTAAAGAAAAGGAAAGTTTAAAATATGGCGGTGTGAATTTTGACGCTATCCCAGAAAGCTTTGCGCGCGTTGTAAGAAAATTAGGCACCAGTCTGTCAAACCGCGCTTGTCGTCAGAATTTGTGGTGATATTCATGGTGCTTGTCAAAAAAGGTTTTTTGTCAAGAGACAAAATACGTACCTCCACAAAGACTATAAATATTTTTGTAAATATAATTTCAATGAACTGATGAAAAATTTAAAATTAATTAACTCAAACTGGGAAATTTTGACCAGTTAAATAAATACATTTACTCTTTCTAAATTCTCACAACTTTCTATTTGAATAGAAATAAATAGCTTTTAAGATCTAATTATTTTGCTATTTATTAGCTATTTTAACAATAGCTCTAAAATAAAAGTAAACATAGTTTAAAAATAGCCATTTTGAACAAAGTTCGCCACAACTTTCTATGAATAGGAATTAAATATAAAGCTATTTAAGATCTATTTATTTTCCTATTTAATAACTATTGTAAGAATGGCTCTAAAAATTCAAAAAATAAAAGCAAACATAGTTTAAAATAGCTATTTAATAGCTATTTGGAACAAAGTTCGCCACAACTTTCTAGGAATAGGAATTAAATAGGTATTTAAGATCTATTTATTTTCCTATTTAATAACTATTTTAACAATACTCAATAATATCTCCAACAATAAAAGCAAACATAGTTTAAAAATAGCTATTTTATAGCTATTTTCAACAAAGTTCGCCACAACTTTCTATGAATATAAGCAAAAATAGTTTAAAAATAGCTATTTAAGAGGAGATTTTTTGCAAAATCGCGTATTGGGCGCTCAA